CCTCTTCTGACTCTCTACTACTAGTTCTGCGTACTTTGCTCTTTTCCGCTCATGAGCTTCAACTATCCTACTTTCCCAAGGCACAGTCAATTCCAGCATGATCACCTGTTTTGAGGCGTCTGGGCGCAGTGACGTGGCAGCTATGTGGTTTGGAAACTTAAGTTGTTTGACTAAGTCTACTTGGAGCTGCCAGTCTCTCGCAGTGGAAAGGAGCCCACCAGAAGTGTGTTTTCCGCTTCGCACTCTCACCAGCCCTGACAAAGGTTATTGACTTCTTGGGGGACTCTTGCTACTTTTCAAATTGTTTTATTTAGGTCGTTTTATTTGTCTTCCATTCTAGTCACAATTTCATTTTTCATGATTAAATACACTCTTGTGCTAGATCGACTTTGGATACAAGGAGAAAGTCGGAATAGCTCTATCTAAACTATCAGCAGGACACACTTACAAATCCTTTTACATTGGTCACTTTACATACATATCCAGCATAAGCAAGCAATAGTCAGCAGAAACCTAATATCGAAAGCGATTCTATACTTACTATAAATCCATCCTTAAGAAACAGGAGCAGCTCGTTGTTGTGTTGTGACACTGCGTAGCTGACCAAGCTGATGTCATTCCAATTGGAATCCATGTTGGAGCGCATGTGCACACACAGGGTAAAGCTGGTTAAGTCCTCAGACAACGTGGTCTCCATCCTGGCATAGTCATCAATGCCTCTTGGACCGGGGAAGATGATCTTCTGTGAGTCGCCTGGTACAACTAACACAGGTTGAAGACATGTGGGACAATGACAATGTGGTTTGGTAGTCACCAAGAAATGTACAGTTTAAAATCATAATCTGCAAGATTCAATAGAAAGAAAGTACAGTGCCTATTGACGTCCATGGCAGTATCTTTCATTGTTGCTGAAATAGGACAGCTTTTTAAAAAAAATACATGTAACGTTATAACGAGACGGCCAGGCATTTACTCGGGAGAAAATACATCATATTATGAGTTCTATCTATATAGCACCCTGTATATGTACGATTTTGGGGTATTTCTCCTGCAACGCATCACACCGCAGAGAAACGCAATGAATGCGGAAGTAACTATGCACCGCAGGGCAAAAAAAGTCATGGGCCTATGACCTGATTAATACATGAAATTATTGAAAAATGGTGTAAAAATGCCAGCAGGACCACTTCGTGGTGTGGTGAAGACATATTGCTTTCTCTCCTGTTTCTCCTTCTTCTTCTCCTCCTCCTCCTGCCATTTCTTAAAGGGATTATTCAACATTTTTCGGGCAAATGACCTGAAATGTGGCATGGAGGTAGAGTTGGCATATACGAGTACCCCCAGATTTTTTTCATTTGTTTTAAAAAGGCCTTTAAAATTGTTTTGTTTGTTGGGTTTTTTTTTGCCATTTTCAGGCAAAAATATACATTTACAGCCCTGGTACTAAGCCTAAATGACCTGAAATTTGGTATGGGGATACCTTGGACACATGTCTACAAAATGGTATTCAAGCTTTTGACAAACGCCACTTTAAAATTGTATAAAATAGGGTTTTGGGCTATTTTCGGACAAATAATGTACATTTTGGCTCCTGTGCCCTAATATTAAATTCGAATAACCTAAAATTTGGTATGGGAACACCTTGGACAGAGACCAAATAATGTTATTTACACTTTTGACATACACTACTTCAAAGTTGTGTAAAATATGGCTTTTAGGCTATTTCCGGACCAAAAATGTAACGTTACATTTTTAGCTCCTGTTCCATAATGTTTAACTAAATGACCTGAAATTTGGCATGGGAGATCCTTGGATACAATCCCACAGAACGTCATTTGCGCTTTTGGCGTGTGTTTAAAATTATGTAAAATGGGACGTTATTGCTATTGTACATTTTTGGCTCCTATGCGCTAATACGAAAACCGAATGACCTGAAATTCAGTATAAAGGTAGCTTGGCACGAAATGCTTAAACTATATATATAGTGAGGGCCTGCAAGGGAGGGGGGGGGTCCCGACAACGCTCTACGCTGAATTCGGAAATCTCTCAATTACGCTTTACGATAACTTCCAAGTGGTTACAACGCATTACGTAGATTTAAAATGGCAAATACGCTGTACGCAAAATGCGCCAATTACGATTTACGTTGAATTAGAGTGGTCCGTCTACGCTCTACCTAGAATTAAAACGGCCGATTACGCTCTACGGAAAGGGATTGAGGGCTCTAACTGCGCTCTCTTTGCGACCTGAAATTGTGGGAGCGCGGAGAGAGTGCCGTGCTTAAGTGGAAGCTCTTTCTGCGCTCTCTGCGCGACAAAAACTCAAATGCCAGCAACGTTTAAGGGCGACAAACGAATTCATAGCTCACTGAACGAATTACGGAAATATAGAACGAAATGTTGTACGTTTTGTTTGCTTTATATTTTTCATTCTTGTACATTCTACATCATAGTTAGATTATGACATCAAGGGTGTAAGGTGTAATTTCACTAGGACGCTGTCACTGCGCTCTCACTGCGCTCTCTATGCGACCTGAAATTGATCGGAGCGCGAAGAGAGTGCTGTGAGAGCACCGAGGTCGCCATGTTCTGTATCTAAATTAACGTTGGGGCCGTTGTGCGCTCACATAGCGCTCGCTCCGCGCTCTCACGGCGCTCTCAAGGCGTTCTCACGGCGCTCTCACGGCTTTCTCACGGCGCTCATTGTTGCATCGCCGTCCTTGGCGCTCTCACGGCGATGGAATGACCCGGTTAGAAACGGTGACGGCGCTCATGGCGCTCTCATTGCGACCTTGGCGCTCTGTCCGCGCTCTGGCCAAATTCAGGTCGCAAAGAGAGCGCCGTAAGAGTGCCGTCTAAGTGGAATGGTCAGGACAGGACAGACGGAAACACAAATTCACTAACAAGCTGGGAGGAAGTGACTTCACACAGTCACTGGGTGTATAACTACTTTAGGCATGCTGGAACAAACTATCACTCTTGTTGAAAGTAAATCAGATGCCATGTCTTTGGTTGTTCAACAAATTCACAAAAATAGTTCTAAATACTTTCCGAAGGCTTGTTGTTGTGGCCTTTTGTAGATTCCTGGTGGTAGATTCCACATTAAACTAAACCAGTTCATCATAGAAATGACAATGATTATGCTCGCCCAGGTGACGACATAACTGAGGTACCGGTTACCTGGAGATCCTTGTGATGTTGATGTTTCAATCTGCTCGGTCACGGATGACACCATAGTTGAACGGGGACGTTCTACTGGAAAAGAAATAATTTGGGCTTTGCTTGAAGTACTGCCAATGCTCATCGCTAGACATAGAATACAGTCTCCTAGTTGACGCTGTATAATATCTCAAGAGTTTCACGACCTCATATCCTCGCCAATCATGTTCAACCTTTACGACTGACGCAGTATAAATGTTTCTCATTGACTATGCAAACAAGGCCCTCATTTGCATAAATCATATCAGTTGATCGTATTCATCTCTCAAACAACTGGAGTCGGCCACTGGCAGTCTATTTTTAACAAAGAAGGTCATTCTAGCATTTCCTCATCAATCATTCAAATGAGGTTCTGATTTGCATAAGTTATATCTAGCGATGTTCACCTTCGCTTAGCTTTTAAACCTAGTGTTGCACAATGGAATTTAGGCTAAATTCAACTTTGGTACAGTAAGATCGTTTCATTGATTACGAAACTTATGCCTTCATTTGCAGAATTCATATCTTTTCCTATTGTTATCAGTTACATCTCGTATATCACATTTTAGTAGTGCAATCATCAAGTGCAGAAGGTGTATAGAACTTCCACATCAGTTATGCAAATTAGATCCTAATAAGCGTAATTGTCATCTAATAAAGTCAAGCATCACACTTGAGCTACCTACATACCAAAAATGATCATCCACCAACCCAGCCTTGAGCTTTCCTCTTTCAGGGCTGCCTGTCTTTTGTAGCTTTGTCCAACATGAAATCTTAACTTGAATTGTTGTAAATATCTATAGCCACCTATATTACTCAATCTGCATCTATTTTAAAACGTCAATATTTTAGCCACTGCAACTGTTTTTATCTAATTAAGATTTTAGTATATGTAAATTCGTTTTTAAATTCAGTGTTTTTCACACTGCGAATAAGCGAATAAAGACATCTTGTATCTTGTATCTTGTATCTTGTATCTGTATCTTCAAAGATTTTGCTAGGAGGCTCAAAATGTCACTCTTCCCCAAGCACATCAACTATTTAACACCCAAAAGCCACCGCGACCATGGCATTCACGAGTTTCCCATTCCCAGAATGCATTGCTAAATATTTGCATAGGACAGGAAGGCATTGGAATGATCCTGGTGACGTTAAACAGCTTGTTTTCCAGTGTGTTTTGCGGTGTTGGGGCATTTTATGCTCAACGTTGATTAAATTACTATGGGTTGAATCTAACAAGTAGAGAATGAACATTTTTGTTCTTTTCAATTTTCAATTATTTTGGAATATGTGGTTTGTAACGTTATAGTGGTAAAGCTATACTGGTGCTGTAACGTTACAAACCACATGTTCCATGTTGAAAAGAACAAAAAAACCTTCATTCTCTGTTTTTTGTCATATTCGACCCATAGTAATTTAATTAATGTTGAGCATAAAATGACCCAACACCGCAAAACACAGTGAAAAGCAAGCTGTCTTAACGTCACCAGGATCATTCCAATGCCTTCCTGTCCTATGCAAATAAGGTTTAGACCCCTGCTTTCGCAATGCATCCTGGGGATGGGAAACTCCTGAATGACCAAAACAAGATATCATGGAGATTATTAGTATCTATTAGTAAACCGGAAGTACCATTGCAGTACCGTAGAGAGCCACCGGGCAGCCCAAAATCTATTTCAGTTTTTGGCCACAACCTAATAACGGACTAAGTATCATTAAGATCCGTCGAACGTCGTAGGACAGATAAAGGCCCGTGGGTCTATATAACATTCTTGGCGAAGATAATAAGTTTGCTGTACTTACCGCAGCGATAGAGATCACTACTGGCCTGTCCGGACACCGTTACGTTAGTGGTTGCCCAGTCAATCACGTTACCATGGTAATTACAGAACACTGACCAGTTTGTTCCGATTTCATCTGCAGACAGCACACGGTCCCAAAGGTTCACCTGCGATAGTTCTCCACTGAACGCTTGAGACTCTGTGAATCCTCCCGTAACTGTGTCTTGGTCCTGGGCGAGGATCCATGTACCGCCCCTGCGGACTTTCCCTCCTACATTAAGCCTCGAGCCTGTAGCCTGAAGCACGCCGTCAGTGTAGACCTGCCATGCTCCATCCCCGCTGCGCCAAGTGGCACATATTGCGTGCCACTCGCTGTCCCAAACGGGCAAGTCACCCAATTCAGCATGGATATTTTGAATGTATAACTGGAAAAATATGTATATGAATGTTTCAACGACATTGACGGTTTTCTTAAAATTGCGACATGAGACTTTATATTGGCATATAAAATAAATTAACAAAACAGAAACAAGAGATTGGAGATTTCAGACTTCCAGGAAGCAATATTTGGCTTTTCGTGACCTTCAACCTAACCCTATTTCCTAAGCTTGGCCTTTTGGCCACCTGTCATTCTGCCTGTCAATCTTCTCCAGCCCAGCCAAACAGAACAGCTCAGACATCTAAACCAATACTCTGCTTACTTACCCGGAAGTAATGGAATGTTTAGACACGCCTGAGTAAGGACTATGATGCCAAAGGTTTAGTATCGAACGAGAACTTACTTGAAAATGGCCTCTACGTAGACGATCTTTGTAAAGAAGTAGTTCGTTAGCATGTACGCCACTTCCCACAGCATAGCTGAACAAACTCGCATCTGTGTTGGAACCCATGTCGGTGCGCATGTGCAGACATAAAGTAAAACTCGTCAAGTCCTGGGGCAATGTCGTCATCAGCCTGGCGTAGTTGTTGGCGCTGCGTGGAACGGGCAAGGTGATTTTCTTCAGGTCACCTGGAAACGAAGAAACTGAAGATTTCATACCTCCGTGAAATATTTGTGAATATTATATTTTTTTCATCATTCTGGATTCCAATGGACATTTCCTACTGACTCCTAACAGACATACGCATGTATCAGGATGTTCATGGCAGGAAATGAGATGAACTTTTCTGGGACCTTTGGGGAGATGGCAGTATAGTGCTTTACACTTAACTACTGATCTACTTTTAAGCTACTTGCTGTTAGAGTGTAGCCTTGTGACGATGATTTAGGCTCGCCCTGGTGATGACGTAACTGAGGTGCCGGTTACCGCAGTGAGCACGTCGGCAGAACTTACTGCGCCTGCGCGAACCCTGATTTTTCACGGCTTCCGTTGGATTTTTGGTCAGCGTGGCATCAAAATGTTGCATATTGCAGACGATATCTTTTTTCACATAACATTTGGGAAACCACAGACGGGATGTTAACCTTAGACCATGTTGATTTGATTACGGGTATGGATGACATCCGCGCGTGCATGAATTTTCGGCCGTTTCCAAAAAAAGCAAGTTTTCAACCATACTGTAAATCGCACAATGAGCAAATGTATACCATAAGTTGCGAAAAAAAAATTGGAAAACGATACCAATGTCGCAGAATGGCAAAATCAAACGAAAAAGACGAAAATGTAAAGAGATGAATTTGAAGAGTAGATTATTCGCCTTACCATACTCTGTGTCATTTGTTCAACTTTCATGACCACGTAGATTTCATCATGAAGGCAACTTTTTTTTTACCAAACTTTTTTTCGCACGCTTGCATCAGTTTTGGGGTTCCCAAGGGGTGCCATCCATATAATCAAATCAGCATGGCCTTACAGTATATACGTGAATACAACCTTATTTGAGACGTGCTGCCGCAGTGCCATGCAGTATACATTATGAGTTTTGCGCAGGTGCAGTGCTTTCTGACGACTTGCTTACCTGAATGGCCGTGTGAAGCTGACGTTCCCGTCTGAGTTGTCACTAGTGACGTCATAGTTGTGCGAGGCAAAACTGCTGCAGCGTCATCTGAAAACGAGTCCACAGATATCTTAGACCTCGAAACCCGCTGGTGCGAAAGAGGAGCTCTAATAGAGACGCAATATATGAAAGAATGTACAACCCCACCCTCAACAAGGACCGCGGCTATGGGTAGAACTCTCAGGCACTTGATATTTGGCACTCCCAGTCCCAAGGACGCTCCTGTCCAAAAACAACAGGAGCTTTTTAGGCCCCCATTCCACAGTGGCGCTCTCACAGCGCTCTGAAATTGGCCAGAGCGCCGAAAAACGTGCTCAAGTGGAACTCTACGGCGACCTCTCTGCGCGACCAAAAACTCAAATGTCAGCAACTTTTTTTTTTATGGGTGACGAATTGATAGCTCACTCAACGAGGAACGGAAATAGAGAACGAAATTTTGTACGTTTTGTTTCTTTTATTGTTTTTACAGTCATTCTTGTACATTCTGCATCATATTTAAGTTATGATATCAAGGGTGTAAGCTGGCCCCCATATCTACAAGGCGCTCTCACTGCGCTCTCTTTGCGACCTGAAATTGTGGGAGCGCGGAGAGACATCTCTGCGCTCTCTGTGCGACAAAAACTCAAATGCCAGCAACGTTTAAGGGCGACAAACGAATTCATAGCTCACTGAACGAATTACGGAAATATAGAACGAAAATTTGTGCGTTTTGTTTGCTTTATTTTTTTTCAAAGTCATCCTTGTACATTCTACATCGTATTTAGATTATGACATCAAGGGTGTAAGACCCCCATTTTCACTAGGACGCTCTCACTGCGCTCTCTATGCAACCTGAAATTGATCGGAGCGCGAAGAGAGTGCTGTGAGAGCACCGAGGTCGCCATGTTCCGTATCTTAGGCCACACCAAGTAAATTTTATGGATGACGTCCGCGCGCGCATTGATTTTGGCCTGTTCCTAGAAAAAAAACCAAGAAATTCCACTTCCTGTAACTATGACCAAAGAGAAACAGGACAGAAAGACAACTGCTGTTCCACCTGACTTATTGCTGTTTTGATGATGAATAAAATACTTCTTGCTTGTTACACTGTGTCACCTAATTCAATTTGTGTCCTAACATTTGTCGTCTCTTAGTATATTTCTAATCTAGGCATATTGTTTTTTAGGGCCCTTCTTGTTTTTTTTTTCGCCCTCTCGCATTAGATTTAGGGTCTCCAAAGGACGTCATCCATAAAATTTACTTGGTGTGGCCTTAAGAGTCATTGCACGAGAAAACCAGGCAGAGGTCGGAAGATGGGGGTCGGCCAAATCGACTCAAACTTTGTATGTGAGATAGGTATGGGGAACTATGAACAGCCATATATTTAAAACCCTCCAGATATTTTTCGTTATGGAGATCTGGGACCCCCCTCCGAGAGCCTCCGAAATCAGGTAATTTATGGCTGAAAATTACTGAACTTGCGATGGCTGCACTGATGATTCTGATAAAGATATGGATAAAAAGTTTATATTACCACATAGCATAGCTTTTCTAGATTTACAGACCCAAAGTTCAAGAGGACACCTTGAAGTTAAGAGGGTGTGACGGGGGGGTTACCGGAACCAATGAAAGCAGAATTTTCATCTCTGTGCATTTTAGTCATCTTTAAGGCGCATTATCTCATATGGGCAGTGGCTTTGGTGAATGGTTTTACTGTGTTTTAAGAGAGGAACATCTACTGATTCAAAAACAAGCGTCGTTGGTTTCGGCCATACATAACGCGGGCCGTGACTGTGGGGGGGGGGGGTCTTTATGGGGGATTTTCGGGTTTTGGACTATACTTAATCGGGCAATGACTTCTCAGTACTGGGTACGTTAGGGACAATGTGGGCATGTCGATGTGTGGTAAGCATTAGACAATTATCGAAGAAGCTTTAATGAATTGGGGATGTTGATTTGGGCTCTATATGGGGGATATGGGGATACCTGTAAATGGAACTAGGCTAATTTTACACATTTTATTGTTCTTCTCTTAGCTGTAGATAGCAAATAAGTTCCTTACTAAAATATTGTGTACATCAAATTTGTGGTAGATATCAAAAGGATCTACATGGGGGTTATGAGGACTCCAGAAATGGAGATTCCGTTAATTGCAGGTGCCAAATGAAGCAGACCTCTGAGCTAAGTTGTACATATTGACACTTACTAAATCTAAAAGGAGGACCAGAAGAAGAGGGCTAGATATATATATATATGAACACGACCATGCCAAAAACAATGTATGAATGCTATTGGTAGTTACATGTGCGTTTCTTGAATAATGAGGGGTTAGTACAGGTATGCTGCTTTTACCAACCTGCGATGTGCCGATGGACTGTTGCGTAGCATGCACAATATATCTGATCATACGTTGATTTAGCGTTATCTCATTTTTTTTTTCAATTAATGTACAAAATAATGGGAACCAGTTTTGTCTTCTTCGAGCGAGTTAGAAGTTCCGGCAGGCGAATGGATTGTCAGTAGAACATACGAAGGAAGTTTAATGATTAACATAAAGTAGGTCTACTCACCTCGGGAGTAGGCATCAAATTTTACAGTCTTATATAATCAATGTATTCTAACCCGCAAATATGTATCAAAACCTCCTCTGGTCTAACACCACCCTTCATCACGGACAAAGGTGTGAGGCAGGGCTGTAACCTTAGTCCGACTCTCTTCAACCTGTTCATAAATGATTTAGTCAAGATGTTAGATAGTCCAGAATGCGTTCCACCCTCCCTACAGAATTTATCCATTTCCTGCTTACTCTATGGAGATGATGTCGTAATTTTCTCGGAAACCGAGAAAGGACTTCAATGTGCCGTTGACAAACTAAACACTTTCTGTACAAAATGGAAACTCCAAGTTAACCTGAAAAGACCAAAGTTGTAATTTTTAACAAAACAGGGCGCATATACATAAATACAAAATCCCTGCTTGGCTCAGAAAATATAGAAATTACTACGTCGTACTGCTATCTAGGTCTGCTGTTGTCCTCATCTGGCAGTTTCTCACTAGATAAGAAACAACTTGCTTTAAAAGCCCACAAAGCTGTTTTAGCATCAAATCTCTTATCCGCTCACAAATCTCATAGAAATCTTTATTAAGGATTTTGACATGTGAATCAAATCAATATTATGTTATGTGGTTGCAAAATCTGGGGAAAAGATTTTTCAAATGACTACTGTCCTATTGAAACTGTCCATAATCGCCTCTGTAAAAACATTTATGGTGTACACAGAAACGCTAACAACGGAGCATGCACTGAAAGCAGAGCTCGGTAGATTTTCGCTAGACACAGACGTATCTGTACGCCGAGTCAAGTATTGGTTAAGACTGAGACAACTAGACGCTAATACACATCCCCTACAAGTTGACGCTCTACAGTACTATCCCCAAAACATATGTTACAAGAAAAATCTGCTACACCCTGTGAAAGAAATACTTGACCAGTGGTTTCTCATATATCTGGCATAACGACAACGTCGACCTCGATAGCAACACATATGTACATTACTTAGAAGTAGACTCTCTGACATGTATATTCAAACCTTTCTTTACAATCTCTCTGTTGATGTCGGTAAGCTAAGATTTTATAGACATCTGAAACCTGTATACACAATGGAACGTTATCTTCACATCAAGGACTTCGATGTTAGATCAGCCATATGTAAGCTTAGAGTTAGCGCACATAAATTAGAAATAGAAAAGTTTAGATACAAACAATTGTCTGTTAACAGTTCAGCATGTGTAAATATTGCACAGGAAATGCAGTGGAGGATGAAATGCACTTTATTCGTCATTGCCCTCATTAATTTTAGCACTGAAAGAGATAAGTTATTTTAAATGGTCACCAAAATGTTACCTAGCTTTATTTACCTTCCCAGCCTACAAAAAACTACATTTCTATTAACACCTCCCAATTCATATATCTCGCAAAATGTCAGCCATTTCATACTCCATTGAAAAGAAACCAACAATAACTACAAATGTATATCTAAAGTAGCATTAGCATTACTAATTATAATTTTTACTGTTTGTTTTGGTTATCCTGTTCTTTCAATTAGCCCTCGGGCATGAATTTGCAATAAACTTTCATTATTAATATTATACAGGTTAAAAAATGTTTTTTGGTTAGGTATGATGAAAAATGGTCAAGCATAGTAACACACCATCAGTGTACTATGTAGTAAATGTCCATACCAGCATATCTCTACTGATCTAGCCTGTGTATACAAGCTCTCGGCTGTACGTTAATGACCCCCACCCCTAGGGCGGCGGCCGCCAGGAGCGCGATTTAGTCAGGCTATCTACTGATCTAGATTGATGAAGAAAAGTACAAGTACTAGTCTAAGCAAACGATTGTTTATTGTTATCCTTTTTCTGAGTGAAATGACAGCATGCTCGAAGTACCATTACTTTCACGTGGCATGTATATTAAATGGCATCTCCATTCGTGGAGTCCTCATAACCCCCATACAGAGCCTTTTCATAATCTATCAAAAAGTTAATGCACATAATAATTTACCAAGGAACTTACTTGCTATCTACAACTAACAGAAAGCAATAAAAATGTGTAAAATTGGCCTAGTTCCATTTACAGGTATCCCCATATCCCCCATATAGAGCCCAAATCAACATCCCCAATTCATTAAAGCTTCTTCGATAATTGTCTAATGCTTACCACACATCGACATGCCCACATTGTCCCTAACGTACCCAGTACTGAGAAGTCATTGCCCGATTAAGTATAGTCCAAAACCCGAAAATCCCCCATAAAGACCCCCCAGTCACGGCCCGCGTTATGTATGGCCCAAACCAACGACGCTTGTTTTTGAATCAGTAGATGTTCCTCTCTTAAAACACAGTAAAACCATTCACCAAAGCCACTGCCCATATGCCCACTGAGATATTGCGCCTTAAAGATGACTAAAATGCACAGAGATGAAAATTCTGCTTTCATTGGTTCCGGTAACACCCTGTCACACTTGAATATGGCCGTCTTCTAAATCTCTCGTAATTTCGTACCT